GCCCCGGCCCTGCCGGCTCCGCGGCGCCCCGCGGCTGCCGCTGTCGCTGCCCCGCGGCTTCGGGCCGCCCGCCTTCGCCGAGAGCGCCAGCAGCGACTCGGAGTCCAGCTGCTGCTCGGGCCGCGCCGCCCACGACTCGGACTGCGGCTCCAGCCTCTCCAGCTCCAGCGAGGGCAGCTCGGAGGAGGAGGACGAGGAGGAGGAGGACGAGGAGGGCAGCGGCGCCTCGGACTCCAGCGAGGGCAGCTCAGAGGAGGAGGAGGAGGAGGAGGAGGAAGAGGAGGAGGAAGAGGAGGAGGAGGAGGACAGCACCTCGGACTCCGACTCCAGCTCGGTCTCCAGCCAGGTTTCGGTGCAAAGCATCCGCTTCAGGCGCACCAGCTTCTGCAGCCCGCCCGGCGTGGTCCACGCCAACTTCTTGTACCATCTGGCGGCCGCCGCCGCCCCCCGGCCCCCGGCCCCGGCCCCGGCGGAGCCCGGAGGGCTGCCCGTCCTCCGCGGCGCTCCCGGCGGAGTCAAGCCGGAGCTGCCGGAGGAGTGGGGCCGCCCCGGCTGGGCTCCCGCCGCCCCGGCGCTGCGCTGCTCCGGCGGCCTAGGGAGCTGCTTCGCGGAGATAAGAGATGATAGGGTATCCGAGATCACATTCCCACACTCTGAATTTTCCAATAATACCAAGAGTACTGACCTAACAATTAACTGTGTTGCAAAGGGGGCCTCTTCACCTAGCCCAAAGACAAACAATGCATTTCCACAACAAAGAATACTCAGAGAGGCAAGGAAATGCCTTCAAGCAACTACTACACACCGTGTAGATAACAATACAATAGCTGCTAGGTTCTTAAATAATGATTCTTCATCAACGGCAGCAAATTCAGAGAAAGATTCCAAAATCCCTCATTGTATTGAATTTGCCACGGATTTGCCCTCTTTACAAACTGATCCTGCGGAGGATGCTGCTTCTCCAGGGGCAGCAGCAGCAGCTGAGCTCCAGTGCACTGATACAGGCAATAAGGCATTGCCATTCCTGCACAGCATTAAAATCAAAATAGAGGACAGCAGTGCGAACGACGAGTATGAGCCTGATCTTACAACACATAAGCTAAAGTGTGAGTGCAATGATACTAAGGATGAGTTTTACGGTGTGACTGAGAGTAATAACCAGGACGCTTTATTAACAGCCAAGGAAGATTCTGCATGCACTGAGAAAGAAACCACTTCCTTAAACCCGCTGACTCAGAGTCAGGTCCTCTCATGCACTTTAGGTACTCCAAAACCTGAGGATGGGGAGTATAAATTTGGAGCAAGGGTGAGAAAAAATTACAGGACACTGGTTTTGGGAAAGCGACCTGTACTGCAGACTCCTCCAGTCAAACCAAATTTGAAATCAGCTCGAAGCCCACGTCCTACAGGTAAAATCGAGACACATGAAGGAACACTGGATGATTTTACAGTTAACAATAGACGCAAAAGGGTAGCCAGCAATGTAGCATCAGCAGTGAAAAGGCCATTTAATTTCATGGCAAATTTTCCCTGTCCACCATCACTAATTATTGGCAATGATGGGGATTTGTTGCCAGCTTATTCCTTAAACACCACTAAGGATTCCCAACCACCTCACAAGGCCCATCCTGTATGGAAATGGCAGCTGGGCGGTTCTGCAATACCTCTTCCACCTAGCCACAAATTCAGGAAATTTAATTAATAAAATAGTTTGGAAAATATTTTCTTGAACCACCTTTAACTTTCTTACCTTTTTCTTTTTTTTTTTTAAACTCTGCAGCATGGTTTGTACAAACCCATTAATGCTATACACACTTCTGGAATCCTGTTTTATCACAATGTGAAGACAGAAACCGGATTACTATTTTATTTACCATTACAACAGTGGTGGGATTTTTCTGTTATTTTGGGTTTTTGTTTTTGGTGGTCTATTTTTGTTTTGTTCTGTTGCATTGGGGTTTTTTATTTTATTTTATTTTGTTACATTCCACAGAGTACTTCAGGCTAAAGACTCAAGTTAAACTCAGTTATTACGGTAAAGCTGGAACACTTTACTGTTTAAATGCTAATAATGCACCAGTACCTCAATTCAACTGCTGCAAATAAATGTCAAAAGGTTGAATAATAAATATTAGAATGAGCCATTAAATTTATGCACTAGATTTCGAAAATGGAAGTCTAACTGTTAATTCAGTTAAAGTTTGTTAAGTTACATGGTTGCACAGTAAGGGTTCACTATAAATTCAATGTGGCAGCAATCTACTTTTCGGGAGCTTTGTTTTCGGGTGCAGGGGTGTCTCTTTCGAAGAGCAGTTGCACTTACTCCTTTTTCTCCGGTTTGGAAAGCCTGGTGTCCGCCTGCGACCCCAGCGCTGGGAAAAGCTGCCTCATTTGAAACCAGTAAATAAATGTGGAATTCTATTTTTGGTAAAAGGGTGTCTTTTTGCTTGTACAGCCACTCTTTGCAATTGGGAAGCCTTTTTGTTTCACCCAGAGGTCTTAAATAAGGTTACTGTTACCCACTAATGTCATACTTAAGTTGTGGTCTGAACATGCCCCTTACAAACTTGCAAAGCAACTAAAATATTTGCCTGGCCAGCAGTACAATTTATGGTCCAGCCCCTCACGCTGGCTGGAGGAAATAGCAAAGCAGTAAATACAACACAGAAAGTGAAATGAGAGGCCGTAAGTGGAAAGATTACACAAAATGAGAAGACCATGTTATTCATAGCTTTTTGGCACCAAAACTCAAGTGTTTCAACCGTGTTACACTTCCCAGTCCTATCCTCATCTCTTGAAATTTGCTGTCGTGGGTTTTATTTTGCCATGCCATCCTCTCTATGTAGCAGAAACATTTCTACTGCACGTGACAATCAGAGGCAATTATCTATATTTGCACTTAATATCGAAATAGTCGAACAGGCAGACTTCTAGAGTCTAGCCCTCGGTAAGTCATGCTGGTATAATATATTGTGATGATGGAAGCAGTAAATCAAAATTATGGAAATTTGCACTGTTGAAAAGCATGCTTTAGCTTTATTTTCAATTAAAAACACTGTTTTAAAAAATTCTGATTCCAAACACTTTGAATTATTGCAGAGTTATCCGTGGTTTCCTCTCCGTTTGTAAGTTCACTGTTTTTATTTGGAGGAAATACGCTTCAAGAGGTTAACTGTTTCCCTCCCTTCCCCCCCAGACTCTCGAAAAGAAAGGGAAGGAAAAAAAAAAAAAGAGAGAGAAAGGCTGGAGGCCGAGGTGGAGGCAGCGCCGAGAACGGGGGAAGGTCTCTCTTGCGGGGGGAGGACGGGTACAGCAACTCTGAAAACAGCCTGAAAAGTTTGCAGCTTGAGAAAGGCAGTAATAATTGAGTTGCTGAATCAGCAGAGTTTAGGATGAATAATTGCTGGTTTCTTTCTTTGGATTAGCATTTTATTTATACTAGATCATTCACAAATTAAATTTTAAGGATTCCACTCATCGATCAATCCCGGGAGAATAATTTATCATAAATCAAAAAAGGAAAACAAAGCAACAATGTAATGTTTACTGTGTGACTCAAAGTCAACATTTCTGCTGGCAATCCACTGCCTGGGATTCAATTTTTTAATTCCTGCCTTTTGTGATGCCCTCTCCCAACCTCTCGTGTCTCCAAATATTCCAAGTAGTCACTAACTGATTTCAGCTCTGTTTACTATATCCACACCGGAGTTTTCCTCTCATTGTAAAAGGCCTAGTCTAAGAATACCTGCAGCCAAATATATTTAGAAAGAGTAAACAATTGCCTTTCAGTGGAGTTACCCTTCCCCCCTGCATGCAAACGTACATACACACACACACATCACTTTAAAGCTGCCAATTGCAAAAGGTGCATTGCATACTTAACTGCTCTGCTGAAATTACGATGGTCATGAAAAATCTGCTTACTGAAGTTGTTCTGAGATGAATGTTTACGTTCGTGTGTTTAGAGCTGCACAGAATACAGCCTTATTTCCAGAGAACTCTTAAGTACGTACAAAATGTAGTGCTCAGGAAAGACCCCTGCTCTGTTAGAAACCGTGTCTGCTTGACAAAGGTCTTCACTTGACCAAAAAAAAAAAAAAAAAAAGAGAGAAAGGAAAAAAAAAAAAAGAGCCAAAAGCTACAAAAGTGCAATATGCAAACTTGAAACCTAAAATTTCGCCTTGTCAATTAAACAACGTATCACTTTCAAAGTAACTCTGTCCCCTGACCCTGTTTACTTCCAATTAGAGATATGCTGATTTGGCCAGGAATTGTAAATTACAGAGGTGCCTTTTCAGGTTCCTGAAATAATCCGGGGGGGGGGGGGGGGGGGGGTGGTCGGGAGGGGGAGGAATAAGCATAAATTTATACCAAATAGGCTCTGCAGAGTTGAGGATGTGAAATATGGCGCCCAGCCCTGCCAGCGGCCCGAGAGCTCCAGGCACCCCCGGGCATCCCCGGCAGGCTGCTCCGCTTGGCTCTCCTCCACCCAGGCAGCAGCAAACGGCAAGGAGTTAAACAGCCAAATAATTTTCACACGTGCACACCTCAGTTTAGTGCAAGCCACTAACAGGGACATTCGTGTTTTTACTGCCGCTGGAGAAATTAGCCAGGTACAATAACTCACTAGGGAAAAAATAAAAGGAGGGGATTGAAAAAAAGGTATTCTCTCCAATTCTGGTAGTTTGGTAACTGTTTCTGATGACATTGTAATTATTATTGCGATCAGAGTTCATTATCATTTCAGCCTTAATCATGTGAAGTCTTATCACTGAGTTACGTAAAAATAACCAATTTTCTCTCATAAAGGTAAGTTCTAATAATGAGGAAAACCCAACGTTTTCCAAGGGAGCGAGGCTACCATTTTGTTGCAATGTTTACAGGAGATAAAACTTAAAATATATTAGTAATGAATTGCCACCATTTCCCAATTCCTGGTGTACACACAAATCAACAGAATTTTGTAGAGGAAAAAGCAATTGAGGGAAGTGCGTGTACTTTATGGACTATACTGCATAGGTATTTGCCACAAGTAGAGTTCACCGGTAAATTTATTGTGAAGATTTCTGCTGCCAGATGGACGACAAAGAAAGTTTTGGACTCTGTTTAATTCTCTAGAGCATTAAAAAGGGAACACGTGTAATGCCTTCAGCAACGAGGTATATTGCCTTAAAAGATGTAACTTGCCGTTTACAGCAATTTACTTTAGGAACCGATTGTTATATAAGCTACCCTTACTCGATACAGTGGGATAATCTCTTTACTGATTGTTTATTTAAAACACCACTACTAGCAATAATGCAAAATAGTGGTAGCTGTTTTATGAAGTTTGCTGTTTAATCAATTCACATGGTGATTTTTTACATGGTCTCTGATCTCTTTACCTCTAACAGATTTAGTTGCCAATAAATTAAAGTTTCTGCAGAAATGAGAGCAATGCTATCATGTTTATGTTTGTCACTGTTCACACATGCGAGTGGTTGAGACAGAAAAGGGTAAAAAAAGTGGCATTTTTGACACACGGTGGTAATCTGCAGGAAAATATTCTACACATGCAGTATGTTGGAGAACATGAAACACAGATAACCTTGTTAATTGTGGTTTTTATGGTTAAGAGGATTGCTGGGAAGAATATGTGATGGTTCATCCTGGAATCTACTTGGTCAGCTTGGAGGTACAAAAGGAGGGCGAGTGCCTGAAAATGAAAAGCCCTGGCTAGCAAAATCAGGAGGGAAGTATTGGGATCTGTGTTGCTGAAGTCACGTTTGCAGACATTCCCCATTCCCCTGGTACTTGGCCCTGCAAGCCGTGGTCTAACATCTCCGGCCTGCCCGAAAACCTTTGGGGAAGGGACAGCGAGCCGGGTTTAGGCCTTACACGTTGCATTTTTTCACTGCGCTGATATAATTATTTCCCGTGCCCTAGGCCCCTCTCTCTCCCCCTCTCCCTTTCTCTCCGAGGCGGCCTCACAAGCCCCCGCTTTAAAAGCCCCGAGATGTTTTGCATGAGGCGCTCACAATAGGGGTTGAGGGAATTGACAGTTTCAAAAACAAGGCGCCCTGTCCTTTCCAGATGCCGAGGACCCCTCTCCCGCACCATCTCTCGTTTGCTCCTCGCTGCTGGTGGCTTTACCCTTAGCATTGCAAATACACGGCAACAGCTGTGTTTGTAAACAGGGGGGAGGACGGAGGGAGCGCCGCCGGCCTCGCTCTCGCTCCCGCTCCGCACGGCGAGCTACCGCTGCCTAGAAATTGCAATTAAAAAAAAAAAAAAAAAAGAGAGAGAAAAAAAAAAAGAGGAGAGTGAAATCAAAAAAAATGCGGGAGCGCAGCCGGGCCCCCGAGCGGCGGGGCGGCCCCTGAGCGTCGGGCCCGGGGCACACCGCGCCTCGGGCCGCCATCTTGCCCGGCACAGCGGAACCTCACCGGCTCCCCGGCCCGGCTCCCCCGCTCCCGGCCCGGCTCCCTGGCCCGGCTCCCGTGCTCTCGGCCAGGGTCCCGCGGGCGGCGGGGGCGGCGCGGCAATCTCCGGGGGTTCTCGCACTTCAAAGCGGGGCCGTGGCTTCCACCCTGCACCCCCCTCCGGCTCCTCCGCCGGGGCGTCCATCTTCCCGGGCTCTCCCGTAGCGCGGCCTTGCCCTGCCCGCGGCCTCCCGCCCTGCCCGCTCCGAGCAGAGGACGAGCCAGGGGGGAAGCCCACGGAGGTTGCGCGGGGCCCTCTGGGCAGATGCCGGGCTCGGGGCCAGGCAGCGGCCGGGGGAGGCCCGGGGCTCCAGGCTCGGCCCTGCGCCCTCCGCCCCCGCGGAGCCGGCCCGGGAGGGGATGGGGAGCGAGGTCAGCGCAGAAAGTCCAATAGGGCTGTTTGCTCTTGCGTCTAAAATGCAGCCGGGGCTGTAAAGCGTGTGAAATTACGCACCGGTCTCTTAAAGAGTGGCTAATTTATAGTAAATAGCGAGGGCTTTGTAAATGGATTTATTATGTTGTTTCTTGTTAATTGTTGAGAAAATCCCCATTGTTGAGTGTGAATGGCTTTATGGGCTAGCCCGGGCCGCGCTGCAATCCCGGGGCAGTAAATGGCCGCTCCGCTAATGTGGCCCGTAGCGAGAAGCCGGACTATCCGCGGTGACCTTTGGGCGGCGGGGCCGGACACGGCCGGACACGGCCGGCCCGCAGACAGGCCCTGATGAAGCCTCGTCCCTGTGCGGGGGAAGCGCCGGGACCCCGGTCCGGAGTGACCCCCCCGGCCGGGCCCGGCAGCCCGAGGAGCAGCGGTGCGAGCGGACCCTCCGGGCGCACGGCCGGGCCCGCCGGCCCCGCCGCGGCAGCGCCCACGTGCAGGAGCCGCTCCGCGCCTTTGTTCGCGGCCGCGCTGACCCGGGTGCCTCTGCCGCCTGCCCCGCACCGCCCCGGCCGCAGCGCCGCTGCCACTGCCCGCCGAACGGCACGTCCGCATGGCGAAAGGGGCTCCAGCGCGGCCCTGGGCCCCCCACGCCGACGTTTTCCCCTTAGACAAATAAACAGGAGCCAGCACCTCCAGCCCCTTCTCCCCGGTCCCGGAGGTGTGGGGGAGGTCATGGGAATGGGGGTGCCGCAATGAGCTTCTCCAAACTCCACACCGTCTCCCCTTTTCCGTGGCCGCGGGGAGAGCCCCGCCGCTGCTCCCTGCGGTCAGAGGGATCAGGACACGGGGACTCCCCCGCCGCTGGCACCCAAACCTCTCCCGCGTGCATGCGCCTGCATATTGTAAAATACAAATCACGATGAAATGTAAATTCTACTCTAGAAACTTATATTGGGCTATTCTCTTTCCTGAAATCTCTCCCCCTCTGATTTCGCTATTAGGAGAAATCCCCCTGGGTTTAGAGCACTTGTTCCACGGATTTCTGTACAGCCCACATCTGTTGCCTTCCCCTCTCCGGCTCGGGGCTCTGCCCTCGCTGCAGGCAGACCAGGGCGCGGGTAACCCGGCGGGACGAGCCACCGAGGGGTCGCCGCAGCCCGGCCCTGCCCCTCGGAATCCAGCGATTTTCCAAACTGCCTTTCAGGATCGGGATTGAATTGC